ATATTTTTATATATATATATATATATATATATATATATATAGACTGATACTTTAGTATTTTATATATTATTGGTTCTAATATAAATGTATTGTGTTTTTACTTTCAAATTCTAATTATTCATTGCCTTTATATAAGAAAGCAGTTGACTTTTTATATTAACCTTATATCCTACACCTTGTTATAATTTATTTGTTCCAGGAGGGTTTTTTTATTTTTCCATTTTGGTTATTATTGCTGTTGTTGATCCTTTGGAATTATCTGTGTAGACAAGTATCTAATTTTCAAAAGAGTCTTATACATTTCTTTCCAATATGACACATTTTATTTCATTTTTTTGCTTATTGCATTATCTAGGACCTCCAGTATGTTATCAACTAGGAGTAGTGAGAAGGGATATTCTTACCTTACTCCTAATTTTAACAGTACAACATGTGGTTTCTCACCATTGTGATGTTAACTATAGGGTTTTTGTTGATATTCTTTAGCAAGATGAAAAAGTCTTCTGTATTCCAAGTTTGCTGAGGATTTTTAATCATACATAAGTGTTGGGTTTTGTCAAGTACCTTCTGTGCATATACAGGTATGATTATGAAGTTTTTTTTACTTAGTCTGTTGATAGGATAGATTACATTGATTGATTTTCATATGTGAAACCTATATTGTATACCTGGAATAAATCATACTTGTCTATGATGTATTAGTATTTTTATATGTTGTTGGATATTATTTGCTAATATTTTCTTGGGAATTTTTGCATATATGTTCATGAGCAATATTAGAGAGTATTCTTTTTGGTTTTTTTTTATAATGTTTTTGTCTAGTTTTGGTAATAGGATGATGCTGGCCTCAAACAATGAATTGAGAAATCAAGTCCTCTGCTTTAATTTTTAGAAGTAAGTTGTCAAGAATTGATAGAATTTTTTTCCTTCTGGGGTCACAAAGATCCTGTGAATGAGCAACGAACACTTCCTTCAAATTTTTGGTAGAATTCAACCCATATGGGCCTGAAGCTTTCTGCTTTGGTAGGTTATTAATTATTGATTTAGTTTCTTAAATATATATAGATCTATTCAGATTATAGGTTTCTTCCTGTGTGAGTTTTAACATATTGTGTGTTTTAAGGACTTGGCCCATGCACCTAAGTTAAGAAATTTGAGGGTATAAGCTCGTTCATAGTATTCTTTTATTATCCTTTGGTAGCCATGGGGAATTTCAGTGGTAGTCATGACCTCTTGCTTGTTACTGTTATTAGTGCCTTGTCTTCTCTCTCTTTCACTCACTCACTCTCTCCTCCCTCTCTTCTTCCTTTGTTCTTAGTTAACCCATCTAGAGGTTTATCAATTTTATTGACTTTTTCAAAGAAACAGCTTTTGGTTTCAGTTATGTTCACTATTGATTTTCTGTTTCTCATTATATTGATTTCAACTCTAATTTTCAGTATTTTCATTCTGCTTATTTGAATTTAATTTGAGTTTCTAGTATTCTAAGATAGAAGTTTAGGTTATTGATTTTAGATAATTCTTCTTTTCTAATATGTGAATTCAGTGCTGTAAATTTCCCTCTAAGTGCTGCTTTTGCTGCATTCTACAAATTTTAAAAGGCTCTATTTTCATTTTAATTTAGTTCAAAATAATGTTTAATTTCTTTTGAGATGTCTTCTTTGCTCATGTATTATTTAGAGATGTTCTATTTAATCCTCAAGTATTTGAGTGTTCCACAACCATCTTTCTGTTTTGATTTGTAGTTTAAGTGCATTGTGTCATGAAAGCATACTTCGTATGGTTTCTTTTCAATTTGTTAAGGTGTGTTTTATGGCCCAGAAATATGGTTTGTTTTGGTGAATGTTCTTTATAAGCCTGAGAAGAATGTGTATTCTATAGAATATATTCTACATATATAGAATATATTGTTAGAATATAGAATATAGACATTTATATTCTATATAAATGTCAATTATATTCAATTGATTGGTGGTACTGTTCAGTTCAACTGTGGTCTTACTAATGTTCTGCTTACTGTATCTGTATGTTACTGACAGAGGGGTGTTGAGGTCTTCAACTATAATAATGGATTCATCTATATTTCTTTGCAGTTCTATTAGTTTTTGTCTCATGTCTTTTGACTCTCTGTTGTTAGGTGCATGCATATCAAGGATTTTTATGTCTTCTTGGAGAATTTACCCCATTAGAGTTTTGTAATGCCTCTCTTTATTCCTGACAACTTTCTGTGCTTTCAAATCTGCTTTCTCTGGAATTAATATAACTATTCCAGCTTCCTTTGATTACTGATAATATATTTTTTCTCTATAACTTTACTATTTAATCTGTCTGTATCTTTTTAAAGTAAGTTTCTTGTACACAACATATAGATGGATTGTGTTTATTTGTCCACTGTGATAGTCTCAGTCCTTTAATTGCTATATTTATATCATTGATATTAAAATTATTATAATTGGATTAATAGCTACCACATTTATTGTTGTTTTTTTTTTCCATTTATTTTTATTAGTTGGAGGCTAATTACTTTACATGTTCACTGCTGCTGTTGTTCTTTGTTCTGCTTTTTATTTTTTGTTTTCACATTTCTCTAATTTTAATTACTATTTTATAATATGCCATTTGTCTCTTTTAGTATCAATTTATATTTTTTGAAATCTTTTTCAGTGGTCACCCTATGGTTTGCCGTGGAAACTTATAACTAATCCAAGTCACTTTCAAATAGCAGTATACCAGGTCATACACAGTGAAATGTTATAGAGTATTCCCCATCCATTTTCCCCGTCCCTTGAGATACTGTTGTCATTGATTTCACTTACCCATAACCTATAATGA